AGCCCAATTAAAAATAAACACCTCATCCTAACATGAGGTTTCCCATTTTACCTTTATAAACAGCCATTTGCTTATGTGCCATCTGTCTCCTCTCTACCCAGAGGCAGTCCTCTGTCCCTCCAGGACAAATACCCCTTACCTTTTTCCTTGTCCCCTATCTCCTTTACCACCCCATCCTAGCCCATTCTAACACAGACCTCCCCTTCTTCTCCTCTTAAAAATGACATCTGCAAGGTCACTGGCTGCTGTTTTTCTGCCTGAGTCAGAAAGCAGCCACTTTAACTTTCTTCCCTGCTTAATAAAGGATCTCTCTGTGAAAACCGGTGTTTGGGTGTGGCTTGTGTTTAATCCAGGGTCTGGAGGAAGCCCCTGCTGTGCGGGGCGGGGGGGGGGGGGGGATCCCCTTCACAAACCATCCCCCATATTTCAGAAGTCAATGAAGAATTCATTGGAATTCGCCAGTCTCTTCAATCTTTCTGAGCGTCTAGCACTATGACAATCCTTCTCTTTGTCTTTTCTGTCTCTCATATTTAATTCAACAAGAGAGCTGAGTAGCAGGACTCAGAATATTTGGACCCTAGGGTCTTGCTTTTGTCAAAGCTTCTCTCCATGCCCACATATGTACACCATGTAGCATTCATTTATTTCTGGCTGTGGACACTAGGGTACTCTCGCTATAGGAACTGTCAACCCCTGGAGTCTCAGCCATATGCCCATACATTGAAAGTGTGTGTGTGTGTGTGTGTGTGTGTGTGTGTGTGTGTGTGTGTGTGTGTATGTGTGTGTAGTGGTGCATGTGCAAGTGTGTGTGTGTGTGTGTGTGTGTGTGTGTGTGTATGTGTGTGTACTGGTCTGTGGAAGTGTACATGTAGAGACCAGGAGTCCACACTGGATGTACTCTTTAGTTTCTTCCCCACGTTGTTGAGACAGTGTTTCTCACTCACTCACTGGCTAGACTGAGTGGCTCCTATGCTTCGGGGATCTGCCTGTTTGTTTCCCCAGCACTGACATAGTTCCGGGCTGCAGCAGCTGACTTTTTATAGGACTGTGTAGCTGAGCTCGGGTCTTCCTGTCTGTGTGGGAAGCACTCACTTTCCCACTCAGCCGTCTCCTCAGTCCCTCCTGCACTGTGAGCACTAGGTGAGCACAGACCACAGTAGGAGCCAGAATCAACTGGGTTTCCTACAGGCACCCACATCAGCACAGAACATGATCTATAAAAGCTGGGTCATTGGAAATCCTGAACCACAGGCTGGTAGCTCCATCACAGTCCCCTCACCATGCCCAACAACTGTTTACCACTTATATAACCCTAGAGAGGGGCCCCATGGGCTTGTCAAGTTTAATCTGAGATGTCTAGTCCCATAGATTTCAGGACCCTAATAGAAATACAAAATTGTCTTTGAATCATGGACGCTGGCAGCCATGAGAGAGCCACCTGAGTCCAAGGATACTAAGGCTTCATAGACACGGTGTTGGGAATGGAACCCAGGTCTTCTGCAAGAACAAGTTCTCTTAACAACTCGGCCATCTCTCCAGCCCCAAGGGAGGCTTGAAGGATCATGGGAAGGGTTATGTAAGATAGTGAATCAGATGTCCTTGACCACAAATAGTAAGATTTAAGTTCAAGTTCAGCTATCAGAACATGGCCACTTGAACCAACAGTCACTGGCAGGTGGCCTGGCAGATGTATTCACTGTTCAGGGTGTGGCTTTAGAAGGGTCTTTGTTGCTAGTACTTTGGCTTTACCAGAGGCCAGGCAGGATCAAGGAACTCCAAATTGGTGCCTGACGAAACTGTCACCATGTAGGAGTCATCCAGCAACTGATGGAGGCTGATGCAGAGACCTACAGTCAAACATTGGGCAGAGTTCGAGAATCCTGTGAAGGAGGAGGAGAAAGGAGTGTAGGAGCTAGAGGGGTCGAGGACACCACGGGAAGGCTCACACAATCCGCTAACCTGGGCTCATAGGGGCTCACAGAGACTGAACTGAGAACCTGAGAGCCTGCATAGGACTGATGTAGGCACTTTTACTGGCTTTGGGGGCCCTGCTCCTCATACTGGGTTGCCTTGCCAGCCTTAATACATGAGGAGGTGCTTAGTCTTAACGCAACTTGATACGCCATGTTTTGTTGATACTCATGGGAGATCTGCCCTTTCTTGGGTGGAGAGGATTGGGGGGGTGGGATGGTGGGGAAGAGGCTGCGGCTGGGATGTAAACTAAATAGATGAATAAAAATAACATTAGAAAAATGAAAATAATAAAAAAAAGAAGGGTCTTTGCTGATTAACTTGTGCTTTAGGATGCTCATCCCTGAGTTCCTTTAGAGCCAATCAGCTTTCTGGTTGGTTAATTTATTTGGTTAGGGACTGATGAAAATGACTGGGCTGACCCTTACCACTTGCATAAAATACCTGGAGTTGACCACACAAGTGTTCTTTCGTTTATAATCATTTGTTTTAAAAGTGTATTACATTTATTTACTTGGTGTGTGTATATGTGTGAGTGCGCATGCACCATGATGTGGTGGTCTGAGAAAAACTTGCTGGAATAGGTTCTATCCTTCCACCATGTGGGTCCTTATTGAGAACCACTGGTAGCGAAAATCCATGAGAGTATACAGCAGTGACAACTAGTGTTCAGAAGGTCAACCTATCAGAACTAAGGGTTCTGTTAGAGGAAACCATCACACAAGGTGTTATGGGATTCCTGCCTTTTGAATGAACTGGCTGTCTCTTGTAAACTTCTGGTGCAATAGTAGTTATGATTCTCCCCCATTTACCATGCATCTCCATGTTAGTGTACATGTACTCTCACGATTGCATCTCAGTCTTGGGCACAGCTTTTCCTACACACTTAGGGTAATTGGATAACTGTCCCCAGCTGTGTTTATTTTTCATTAACATACATCTGGCCAGGGCCATTCTCCAGACAAAAGTATTTCAGCAAAGATAGCTTTTTCCAAGGACAAAACTGCACATAGATAAACATTAACTCATCTCACCCAGAGAAAAGAACCACTAACAATTAAATCCTCAACCCCTTACCTCCACCCCGGGTTATTTACACAAAACCCTAACTTAAGAGATTTACTGCTCACATTCCTGGGATGAAGTTTTAGCCACTTGTTAGTTACTGAGTTAAGGGAGTTACTTCCCACTGACCCAAGGAGATTGCCTCCAGGCCAGGCAGGCAATAGGTGCCAAGCTTCTTTCTTATGCAAATTAAGTTTTTATTCCTCCTCAGCCAGGTGCTATTCATTGATTTTCTCCTCAGCAATTACTCTGAGTGAAAGTGCTTTTACTAACCAAATACTACATGCTCTGACAGAGGTTGCTTAGCCACCTAACATATGTCCCCCTCCCCATCAGAAAGCAGCTGCAGTTGGGATGAGCGGGAAAAGCGGCACCAAAGACAGTCTATGATCTTGTGACTTGTTGATCCCTACCATTCTACCTAGCCATTTCTAGATTATAGTTTGAGCACATAAATTCCCTAATTGGTCTTAGCCTTTAGTTGCCCCTACCAGAGAACTCCCCTTTAGTCACTCCCCTTTTGAGTTGAAAGTGGAAGCTGACAACTACTTGCTTTATGTGTGGGTCCTTATCACTCTCTCTGAGACCCTGAAAACTTCAAGCCTCGCATTGCTTTATCATATCCTGGTTCTCTGAGAGCACTGAGAAAATTGATTGAGAAGAATAGAGATGAGGACAGAGATGGAAAGAACTAGGTAGAATGGTGAGAGAACAGCAGAAGGGACTGAGAGGAGCTAAGTAAGAGAGCAGAAAAGAAACTGTGTCGAGAGAATTGACTTAGAGAAATAAAGCAGATGGACTAAAGAACTCAGTGTGCTTAGATTCACTGACGACCCCTCAGATTAGAATCCTCAGCTGATTGTTAGACTCTTCTGAGGACCCTGGGAGCAAACAATATAGGCTGGACCTAACATTGTTTGCGATAGGTCCTGGAGGTGGAACTCAGGTCACCAGGCTTGGCCACAAATACCTTTTCCTGCTGAGCCATCTTGCCAGTCCTGCAACCATTTTAAAGTACATAGTCCAGCAGTGTTAAGGACGTCTACACGTGGGTGGGAACCGGCTCTTGTCCGTCCCTCCTCAGACCTTCAGTTCAGCCTCGAGTCTGTCCGTGGATGGAGGACTTGCAGCTGATCTCCAAGGGAAGCCCAGGACTCAGCAAAATACTTGGTACTGAGAAGCTTCAATCAACGACACAATTTATACGAGGTAGAGGCTCGATGGGCTTTCATTCCACTACGGAGGGGACAAAATTCTCCCTGATTTACTCAACCACACACTTCAAGCTACAGAGTTTAAGCTTCAGGTCTCTCTCAGCCTTGCCCTGGCTCTTCCAGTGAACGCTGTTTGCATTTGAAAGTTGCTCTCCTGAATGTAGAACTGTTCATGCCTCAGGCTCCACAAGCCTGAGATGGATGCAGAGGGCAGATTTCGTTGAGAAACATAACATTTTATATTCAGACTAGGCTTCACAGCCTGGTGGGGGTGGATTCATCCAGTTGGAGCCAAAGTGGCCCAGCCACTGGCTCTGGCCACAGCCACTCCATTATTAAGAAAACCCCATTGAGAGTTTGCTCTTTCTAACCTTTGAGATTCTAACTGAGTTTAGACCTTTCCAATGATTCTATTTCCTTCCAATTTTTTTTTTTTTTTTAGATATAAGGTATCCAACATGAAATTAACCTACAGCTACACTGTAAGACTTTGCGGCCTTTGGTCCATCAAAAGTGTGCTGTCACCATATTTCTCAAATCCCAAGCATTCCCAGCAGCCCAAGAAGTAACTTGAGCTCCAGCAGCCACAGCTCCCTGCTTCTGTCTCCCCCGACCCTGGCACCTCCATTTTACCAGGTTATCTTGCATTTCAGCTCAGATCGCAGGGCACAACTTCCTGTTCATCACGTGGACTTCCCAAGTCTTAGGACTCCAGTGCTCAACTACAACTCAGGAAGTCTTCCTTGTCTTAGCCCACTCTGACTCAGGGATGTCAATCCCATGTCCATACACATGCAGCCATCAGCACAGCATGGCCTCATCTTTGCAGCCTTCAAGAAGAGATGGAGAACCCTTATTTGGATTTGGCTCAAGAACACTAAGGACCTTCCTTCCCCTCCCCCTGGAGATGGCTCTTTGGCCCCTGCACAAGGCACTGTTCAGGGTGGACATTGAATTGCTGGTATTAGCCTTGGGGTGGTAAGGAGCTCCGTGTCCACTCTTCAATTCAGTAGGCAACACGGCACCTGATGTTCCCCCAGTGGGGAACACAGGTCACGGAGCGAAGAAATAACTCTCCACGGCCGCCAGCATACCAACAGGCCAAGCTGCCTCTCTACTCACCGGCCATCCCTTTCTCTCAGCTGAAGTGTAGTGCTGAACCCATAACGGTAATGGCGAGGGGAGCAGAAGAGCAGGAGAATGCCAGTGGCCAGTGTAGCACGTTTGATGTGCCAGCAAGTTCACTGCTCTTGAGCTGCTGCCCTAGAGGAAGGGCAGGGACTGGGGCCAGGAGGTCCAGGTACAGTTCTGAGGCTGTGTTTCCAGAAGCAGGGTCCCTGAGCAGGAGAGATCCCCAGTGTACTGAGTTGGAGAGTCACACAGTTTTCCCGGGAGCCAGGACTTACTGTGTACCTCCTTTGACAGTCTCTCCATCCTGGACCTGCTTGGCCTCTCTGTCCCTGCCATTTGGATCAAGTGTGGCTTACCCAAGTGGGTACAACATGAGAGTATAACCATCTTTGTTTGTGCCTATGTTAGTGTTTTGTGTCTGATTTCCCCTGGGGATGTGAACAAACATCTGTTGACACTGTACAGGGCACCAGGACAGACCAAAGAAATGATTTTCCCGAGTCAAGTTTAATGAAACAGTTTACTGGAGTTACCTAAGAGTATGGGTGATATGAGTACAAGGGCCGCCTGGGCTACAGAGTGAGTTCCAGGAAAGGTGCAAAGCTACACAGGGAAACCCTGTCTTGAAAAACCAAGGGAAAAATAAAAAATAAAAAAAAAAACATGAGTGACCCAGGCAGCTACATTAATTGAAAGCCCGCCATTGCATGGGTAACAGCACACAAAATCTGCAACACTGGGGTTCCTAAGAGTCTTCTCACTGCTAGAAAAATGTTTACTACTTAGGTGACTTTAGGGAGAGCTCGTGAGAGCCTTTCCTGAGTCTTCCAAACCTCTGTCAGCTCTCCATGACAGGATGTTTCAATTCAGACCAAACACTCCACCCACTCCAGATCTTAAATCTTTATACACCCTCTTCCACAGCTCTCCTAAGCCTTGGAGCAGACGATATATACATCTATTTTCTCCCATTTATGACTCAATATTGGGCTGGACCAAAGGAACAGTCACTTATTCTCAGCAATTTGACAAGTTACAAGTTCCTGATAAGACCACCACCCACTGTGAAAGGTCTCCCTTCATACTGAGGCTGGTACAGCAGTCATCTATGGGCATAAACAAACGTTTTGAAGGTAAGTGGACACATTATACTTAATAAAAAAATAAAACAATAGTGGTCGTCTCCTTGCTGGGGCCTACAACCTCCACAGCCACTGGACTTTGTCTTGACTTGGAGTACTCCCTAGGAGTTCCCTCTTTGGGACAGGCCTTCAGTTTGATCAGAAAGCAGCTGTTTGCACACATAACAATGCCACTACTGTACCACTATGTACATGGTCCCGGTGTGTAACACGATAGCACACAGGGTCTGGAACCAAGCAAGACTATCTGGAACAACCGCCCTCCCCCGCCACCCCCCAGCTGTGTTGAGCCTCTTGGCACTGGAAATCCAGGCTGCAGACAAAGATCCTCCAGCCTGAAACCGAAGCATGTGATGTTTTTAGGATGAATTCTCTAGTATTGGCATTCAGCCAAAACCAGTGGCGACATCATTTGTGGTTTGGGGGACCTCAGGCTTTTCCTTCCCAACAGAGGCTGCCTCCACCTAGCACCGGAATTTTCACCCCACAACCTCAGCTCTGAGGATCTGAGGATGCCTTTGTTCCAACTCCTGAACTGCATTAACTATTGTCTTATCTGTGAGACACTAGGCTTGGGCTTATGAAACCTGTTTACAGAGGATAACCAGGATCACTGGACCCCCACTGCTGTCCAACTGAAGCAAGTGTCAGTTGGTTCTGGGATTCCTCTCTGGAGTGATCTATTCATAACACTTTTTTTCTTTTCTTTTCTTTTTTTTTTTTTTTTTTTTTTTTTTTTTTGCCAAATGTTTTTTTTTTTTTTTTTTGCCAAATGTCGTTTATTGAAGGGGGTAGGAGGTCTTAAATACAGGCTTACAGCACAATGGGAGAACTCCAGAGGGCAGAAGTTCGCTACTGATGTTTTACAATCTTGCATCTAAGCTGTTAACACACAATATGCAGGATACACAGACAAGGAACTTCCCTTAAGCATTCAGGAGGGTGGATCCCGGCAGGGAATTAGCATAGGGAGGATGTCAAGGTCAAGGTCAGCAAGCAAGGCAACAGTTACCCAAAACGGGGGCCAGGGACCTACAGGTCCCTCTTTTATTAGAAAATGAGCTTCTGACTTAGGTTGCGTGGGACGTCAGCAGGTCACCTTACCCGTCATGGAGACGCCTGCCCAGGCCACACAGGCGCTCTGATCTGTGTTTTTTTTTTTGTTTTTTTGCTCAAGACACTTCTTGATTCCATAGCCTCCTCCTGGATCCACAAGAATGCTCCATGCTTGGAGCATTTAGTTGTAATTTTCCACAAGACCGGGACCAAATAAGACCAGGTCACTACACCCAGGAGAGGTCATTCAAAATGTCTCTCACTGCACCAGAGGTCACCCCCCACCGCCACCCATCCCCCCTCCCCACCCGCCCCCACCCCCTGGCACAAAGGTGGCTTAGGAGTAAGTTAAATGCTTCACTGCTCCGGTTCTCACAGGGTCACCCTGACCCATGACTGTGCTGTGCCTCCACCAGAGGAGGCTCCGCTTCTATGCAAGTCTTACATTTTCCCATAAGTGACAAGTTTGGTGTCCCAGGAAAACCTTTGCTCCTTTCTGTGTTCATTTTGGCCTCTCTGCAAAGATCCTACATCTTGACTGGACTGCTGGAACATCTGCGACCACCTAGCTGCAACTAATAGACTCATACATGAAATGCGTGCCGTATCGGCTCAGGCTGGGTGCTGCGCTGTATTATCACAGCACTAGAAAGATCGAAGAGGGCAGAATGGGACCGGTTGCCAACACCCACACCTTACCACCAGCAAGGCTGGATTGGAAAGGAAGGAAAAATGAGCTCGTGTGCCGGGCAGCAGAAAACTACCAGGGTTTGCTTGTTCCTACAGCAGAGCGAACTGGAGCCTCAGAGAGAAAGAAAATGATCACATCCCTGGTTCCCAGGCAAAAGGGAGAAAGTAAGTGAAGCGAAAGATAGAGAGAGCCATTAGCCTCATGGTTATGCTGGCAAAGTACTCATCTGTCTTCTGGAAGCCCATGGCCTGGTAGAGAGCCAACGCGCTATACTGCACAATGCTAGTCTCAAGGACCACGTCACTGTAGCCCTGGTCCCGCGCAAACTGGAGGACAGTTCTGACCAGGGCTCTCGCTATCCCCTGTCCTCGATGCTGTGAGGACACAGACAGGCGAAAGAGCTGCAGCTGCTTCCTCCCTGATGGGGGATCCTTGACTGGCAGACAACCCACTATACCCACCACCTGGTCCCCAGACTCAGCCACCCAGAAGGAGCCACGTGCATTCAGGTAGGACTTGGTGATGTCAGCCAGGTCTGTATGAAAACATGTAGCCACATAATCTCTGCAAACAAGCCAGATAAGGAGCCACAGGCAAAGGAGCACGAGGAAGCTGCACACTGTGGCCAGGAGCCAGGAGCCGGACACCAGGGCTATGGTTACGAGCACCCCAAGTAAGGGCAGGAGGGTTTGGGGCAGTGTCAACATACGGCGGAAGATGGCAGGGACATGCTCCTCCATGCCCCTGGAGAACAATTCCAGGACCCTTTTGTGGTCCCTCTCCTGGTACTGGCGGATGTGATAAGGAGCCATGGGGAGACTTCTGGATCTCAAATATCAGTGATCACAAGGGACATCAAGACCTTCTTGCACAGCTTCCCTGAGCCCTGCAGGAAACAGAGGAAGTCATGTCAGTCTCCCAAGCCCCTCCTAGCCTCCCAGAAACCCGGAGATTCCATTCATGGGTGTGCCTCTGTCAACACCCAGGAGGAGGCAGGAAACTACTTCTGTGAGAAAGCATCAGGTCAGCATCATCTATGACACCCTCTCCCCGCGCGCCCCCCCTTTCCTCCCTTTTCTTGCCATGTGACCCTGGGACATGTCCCTTGACCTCTGCGAGCCTGTGCGTCTTCATCTGTAGATCATGGTAAAACAACACCCGGTTTCCAGGTTGCTTTGAAGATTTAATCCAGTAAGCTATGTGCAGACCCTTCCCTATCACACTCCGAATCCGATTTCAAGCTATCTGACCTTTGGTACTGAGCTGGCCCACTGTGGAAAGATAGGCTGTTTCGAGGTCTTTCTTTCCTTCTTCAGGGTCCAGACACTGAAAACTCCTGTATTCCTAGGCACACGTTTCAGCAAATCCTCTTTCCAGCAATTGGGAAGATTTAGTCTACACAAAAGCAAAGGGTCAAATCAGAAACACTCTGCCCCATGGGTCCTCAGGAAGGTTGTGGGACTCCAGACCCACAGAGACCCCCAAGTCTCACCTCTCTGCCCTCTCACCCGGTACCACAGATCTCAGAGTGTCCAGGATGGCCTCAGCTTCTGACAATATCCAGGACAGCCTACCAGAGCCTGATGAATCTCTAGGGAGCAGATCTGGCTTGGCACTTCATTGGCTGACTCCTGGACAGTCATAAACCAAAAGTCAAGAGCTGAAATGTGACAAGGGCCGGGCGATGGTGGCGGCGCATGTCTTCAATCCCAGTACTCAGGAGGCAGAGGCAGGAGGATCTCTGTGAGTTCCAGGCCAGTCTGGTCTCCAGAGCGAGTCCCAGGAAAGGCGCGAAGTTACACAGAGAAACCCTGTCTCGAAAAACAAACAAACAACTACAACAACAAAAAATGACACGGGAGGGAATCCTCATCTATTCATCTCCTGACCCCCACAGGATTCACCTGGAGAAGAAGCTGGCTCTGGCTGGCCCCAAGTTTCTCACCATGGCAGGAGGCCTCCCCTTTTCTGTCTGTCCCCTTCACAGCATCTTTCCACCCAGAACACTTCCACCTCTGGCCCCCAGCCTAGTCCTTGGCGCACAGCTGCTGGGAGAGGCTTGTGCTCATGGCAAGCTGGGTCTCTCTTCTCTCTGAGCCATGGCTGGTCCTAGTTCAATGGATCCTGACAGTCCAAACTGACTTCCTGCCTACCTCACCAGCATGCCCCCTCTCGGCCACCATGCTGTTGCATCTGCTTTGCTGGCTGTGTCCTTTTCAGCCCCTGCAGGACTTGTCTAGATAACAGGCCCCACACAGTGGGCAGCTCTGAGAGCTTGGCAGCTCTTCAGAAGCAAGGCGCCATACTCCTCGTGCAGATTAGCTGAGGAGGTACCTCCACAAGCCGGGCCAGAGCAACACAGAGGGGCATCCTTTTCATGCAAGCTACCCCTGTGAGATGGATGCCCTTGGCCCCAGGCCTAACGTACAGGTCGGTGAGGGCCCCTGCCGTCTCTTCTCATGGCTTCCTGAACAGGGTCACACTGCAAGCCAACGCTTTGTCTGCTGCAGCGCAGTTAGCTTGGGTGTATTGGGGGCAGGGCCAGTGGGCTCTCGGGAGGAAATCAGACGTAAGGTAGGGTGGAGCCTTACATCATAGGAGCCTTACCTACTCCTCAGGAGTCATGTGTGGCGAAGCTGGGGAGCCCTTGGGTATGGACCTGGGTGGCAGGGCCACAGACAGGGGTGATGGGTATGGCACAGGGTCATGTGGTAAGCTGGCACTTTTTTGTAGTGTTTAGCCTGGGCCTATGGCAAGCTCTAAGGAGAAAGATAGGAGGCAGCCTCGGTGGGGGTCTACACTGAAGAAGATTCTCAGAGGCATTTTGGACTTGAGGGACAGAGAGAAGCCTTTGGAACTTCCAACACTGCAATAAACACCAGAGGATGTGGGGGAGGGAGCTAGCGAAGTTTCCCAGGAGGACTTGGGGTCAAGACTCTGAGAGAGGTTAGTTAGCCTCTGCCAGCAGGAGAGAAGCTTCTCAGGCCAAAGGGAGAGCAACCGGGATTCCTGAGCAGGACTAAGGAACAGCTTGTGAAGAACATGGTCATCGCTTTTGGGGAAAGACACCTTACATGGATTCTGAGGGGCGAAGGGTAGGCTGTAGGGAGGGACGTGGAAGGGAGGGGAGAGAGAGGACACCAACTTCAAGTTTATGTAGCAGGAACCCTTACAAGGAGTGGATAACCAGTCTTTTAACTAGTGAGATGCATGAACTGTGGGTGTGTTTATGAGACTTGATCTCTATGTGGTCGGGTCTCTTGTGCTCCTGGAATTGAGTCCACGCTGCCTAATAAGGATGCAGGACCTGCAGAGCCAGGTCCTGGCCTCCCATCACCCATGTTCTTCCTTGGTGGCCACCTTTCTTTTCTTGTCTTGGTCTTGTGTCACTCACCGGCTGCCTTCGCAAAGCCCGGGGTTTTAGCTCCAGCGTCCTCTCCTGGAACACTCACTGCCCTCAGGAATGCCTGTCACTGTTGAGAGTGTTCACCTGTCCACAGGCCTCTAAGCACCCGGGGGCTCCTTCTACGTAAAACACCGCCCCCACCTCCCCACGGGGCTGCCTCCCTGCCTCCTCCCGAGAGTCCCCATCCGGCAGAGTCCAGGATGTTGTGGGAAAGGGCCGTGAGTCTTCCCTTGGTGGATATTTTTTCTTTTCATAGGAAGAACTTGCGGGTCTCTAATGAGAACCATGACAACGGCTAAGAACAAAAGCACCGCTCAGAACCTCATCTCAAAAGTTCCACCATTGCGGGAAGAGCACCTGTTTCTCTCCCTGTCGGCCACCTAGGCTCAGCCGTGAGGACAACTCCCCAGGAGGAAAGTGCTCTACCTGGGAGGGCACTGGAGGCTTCCGGAAGTGGCGGACTTGTTTCCGAGGGGGACGATCTTCCGGGAATTCGGCTCTCAGAGCCTGGCGCGAGCGAGTGCTCCTCCTCTCGTGGTGACCTTACCTTGTGTGATGGGGCACAGATCACGGATCCCCCAGCCCACGTTTGCTGCGATCCCTCCAAGCCGGGGCTGGGGAGCACATGCAAGGGGTGCGCGGGCTCCGCGGCGCCCCCTGGCGGCAGTGCCCGAGGTGAGGCGCCCCCTGGCGGCAGTGCCCGAGGTGAGGCGCCCCCTGGCGGCAGTGCCCGAGCTGAGGCGGGAGGAGGGAGCCCAGGAACTTGTGCCCAGAGCAGCCCCGGGAAGGCAGCCTGCAAGAGACACAGTGCGTCTACCGCTTTCTAGGGCTTCAGGCTTAGTAGCCACACAGACTTTGCCCTCAATCACATTTTTAATTAAAAAAAAAAAAAGCTTTAAAAGTGTATAATTCTGTGTATTACAATGGCTGTTGAGGCCATGTTTTGAAAATAGTCAGTAAGAATCATGAAAAAGCAGAACACCTGGATCAGTGTTACCCTCACACAGAACACACATTCATGTGTGTGAATGCGTCAGACTCTAACTCTTTCTACTATCTTTGGTAGATTGTTGACCTGTGTCAGATATTTGTGGCTACCAACAAAGGACTCTGTCACTGCAAACCGTGAAAATGAAGAGGAAAGCCCTACTGAAAATGTATTCAAACATTCAAAGGGAAAACTAGTGTCTGAAAACAGAGGAAGAACATGGCTAACGAAGAAGGCAGGTCTGATCAGATGTTTCAGACGTAGAAAACGTTGGTGCCTTGTCTTGTTTTGCTATCAGCCGTTTTGAAAACTATCTCAGGAGTCAACATTTCAACTCTGGTAATATTAAAGAGGGCTGGAACAAACGATACCGAACATCTCACATGGAAAGGTCATCGAGTTTCTCTAAAAAGCCTTCCTGAGATAAGTACCTAAGAAAACAAAACCGGTTCCGGCTGGGGAGGTGATGGAGCGGGCAAACTCTTGCTGTACAAGCATGAGCACTAGGGCTGGGATCCCCGGCATCCAATCACAGGCCGTGGGGAAGAGCCACCTGCCTGTAATCCCAGCATGTGGGAGGCAGAGTTCCAGATTCCAGAGCCAGAGGGCTAGCCTGTCTAGATGAATTGTGAGCTCTAGATTCAGCAAGAGACACCTTGCCTCAAAATCTAAAGTGGGAAGTGTTGGGAGAAAACACCTGCTGTCAACTCTGGCATCTGTGCACACACACCCCTCTACACATGCTTGCACATATGCTTATATGCACATACACTGCACACACAAACCCCAAAAGCTTTATACATCTGTGTTTTTGTAATAATATATGAGAATCAATGCTGTTGTTGTTTATTAATAGCCAACCAATTAATTAAAAGTGATTATTTTTGGACTCTTACTTATTTAGCATATAAAATAATCCAGCTTATTACATTTTCATATATGTTTATCACTGGATTTTGCTTGTATTCATTTCCTAATAATCTCTTCTCTATCTGGGGAAGTTTTAATAAATATTAATGCAGTTTTCAAAATTATGTGGAAAAATTTACCTGGGAGTATTTATAGATAAAAAAGAATCAGGAGTGCAGGTTTGTGTAAATATAACAAGAAGTGATTGATGCAAGCGTTCTGTACATTATTAAGCTTGGGTTGTGTAGTGATGGAGCATGAAACTCTCTTACTTTCTAAGAGAATGGAACTTTTGCTGTACCTCACGGCCAGAGTTAATAATATACCTTGAGGTCTCTTAAGACTGCCATTCTACTATGTACTCAAACTGTTGATTTAACCTTTCTTTAAGAGAACAATGTGTTTCTAAGCTAGCACTCTGAAAGGACAAGGCCATGTTCAGTAAGTGCCAAGACTGTGAAGCACCTGGCATCTCCCAGGCACAGCTTGAGCTGGAAATGAACTCAGATCTCAAGGTTCAGCTGTGGGAATTCAACATTACCATGGCCAAGGTTGATGAAGTTGGTGGGGGTCATAACTTTTGTGCCAGTTCCTTAGCTGAAATCTTCCCAGTAAACCTAAGTCGGGCTAGCTTGTGAATTGGAGAAAAGGATTAGAGAGAAACACATGGTCTTTATAGCTCAAAGGAGGGTTCTGCCCACGCCAGCTAGAAAAGTCATACAAAAAATAAGCAGATGCACCTAGAAGCCATGCCGACAGTAGTGCATAACACCATCCTCAAGCACTTGGTCCTCCCGAGTGGAATTGTGGGTAAGAGGATCTGTGTGGAACGGGACAGCAGCAGCTGGCTCCTGATGGTTCGTTTAGACACAACCCAGCAGAACAATGGAGCACGAGGTGGAAGCTCTCTCTGGTGCATTTAAGAAGCTCACAGGCAAGAAGTTAATTTTGAATTCCCAGAGTTTTGGTTGTTAAAAAAAAAAGACTGGATAAAGTGTCATTCATAGTTGAGAGAGAGAGAGAGAGAGAGAGAGAGAGAGAGAGAGAGAGAGAGAGAGAGAGAGAGAACAATGTAATACTCATCCTTACTGGCCTTGAATTTCCCATGTAATCAACTTGTACAGCCTAAGCTAATGTATAGCTGCAATCTTTGCTTTGGATTGTTTTTTTCAAGACGGGGTTTCTTTGTGTAGCTTTGGAGCCTGTCCTGGAACTCACTTTGTAGACCAGGCTGGCCTCGAATTCACAGAGCTCTGCCTGGCTCTGCCTCCCGAGTGCTGGGATTAAAGGTGTGCGCCACCACTGCCCAGCTGTATAGCTACGATCTTAAGTTATGTACCGTTCCATGCCCCAGACCCAGAAAATGCATATGTATCATTTGCTGAAAACAAATATGAAAGTTAAAAGCAGCATTGTAAAATTTACCATAAAGGTTGAAAGCAACATTTATGGGTATTGGTTGATAAACAATGATGTTTGTTATCTGGGTCAGCTGGGATCAGGTGGAGACAGTGACTTATTCTTTTGTAAGACTGTTAACGATTTCTGTGAGGCAGGGATTCTCAACCTGTGGGTTGTGACCATTGGAAAACACGTATTTCCGGTGGTCTTAGGAACTGAGAAACTGCTCAGTAGCAAAATTATAGTTATGAAGTAGCAACAAAATAAATTTATGGTTGAGGGTCCATAAGATCATCGGGAATATGTGGGAAGAGGCTTTCTTAAATGCCACATGTTGAGAACCGCTGCAGTGTAGAGGATTCCATTCCTTCCCCATGTGGCACTTTCGGTGCTGTTCAATACTTGTTGTTGTTGTTGTTTGTTTATTCGGAGCTGAGGACCGAACCCAGGGCCTTGTGCTTGCTAGGCAAGCACTCTACCACTGAGCTAAATCCCCAACCCCTGCTGTTCAATACTTTCAATACTTAGAGAGTTAAGTCCTTTGTGAGGGGCAGACACCCAGACACACAGAACTCAACACACATACACAGTCATCAGACACACACAGACAGAAGACACAGACAGGGACAGATTCACAAGAAAGCCTTCAGGCAGCATCAGCGGAAAGACAGAACAGAAGACGAGAGGAGCAGGAAGTAGAGAATTCAAATCCGGACTCCATCTTGGTTAAATGACTCCAGGGGAAGTGCTTTTTTATTTCTTCCCCTAATGTGACACCTATGCATTATCTGTAACTCTGAGTTAACCACTAACGTATATAATCCATGCAGGGCTGGAGAGATTCTTAGGAACACTGCTGCTCTTCCAGACAGTCTGGGTTTCACCCAGCACACACATGCTGGCTCATAACTATCCATCATTCCAGTTCTGGGAGATCCAATGTCCTCCTTTGCCTTCCGTGGGCACAGTAAGCACACCTGTGGTGTTCACACATAAATGCAGGCAAAACAACACTCATATACATAAAATTAAAACATTCGTCTTTAAAAATAAATAAATGAATATTAAACTTATCAAGTACTTGTAGAATGTGGTTTGAAGTTGGTATCTAAATGTATTTTAAAATGGAATCAAATACAGTTTTTGTTGTCTTGTTTTTGAGACAGAAATTGAGGTAGACAAGCTCACCTCCAACTCACCATATAGCCAGGATGACCTTGAGATCAGACCAAATTTGGTTTCTATGTTCAGAAAATTTAGTTTCTTACACTCATAACTGTACTACAATGGACATTTGGAATGAGTGATGAATTGCCACCTGCTCTAAATAGTTTTAAATTACATTTATCTGTCTATCTATCATTTATTTATTTTGTTGTATGTGTATTCTTGGGCATTTGTGCCCCAGAGCCCATGTGTAGACACGGACTACAACTTGCTAGACTCTGCTCTTTCCTTATACATGTGAGTTACAGGAAAGGTCATCAGGCTTGGCAGCAATCATTGCCTGCT